CTGCACTGTCGCTACAAGCATGCTTAGTGTGAGGGATTACATTTGAGTTAATGAGTCGATGCATTCAACAGGTTTTCCTTAGATAGAAAACTTTGTATCAATTTGACTGTATGATCTGGTTGAACTGTAAAGTGCCTTGAGATGACATGTGTTGTGAATTTGGCGCAATATAAATAAACTGAATTGAATTGAATTAATAAACCTCTATTACATGTGCGAAAAGGAATAGGAAGAAGTAAAACTTATGTGCTCCTACCCCTTTAATTCTTGTATTTCCTAATATTTATAATTATGTTGCTATATATATCCATATAAATACATACCTACCTACACATATACATACATAAATATGTATACAATTATGTTATGTATACAATTAAGGCCTTAATTTAAAAAATAATAATTTTAATGACTTTTTCTCACCGATAAGTGAAAATGGGGTCGAGCACGTAGGACGGCCTTACGTAAACATATCACCAGAAAGATTGACAATTTGGATGACCACTTATTTAGATGATCCACCCAGAAAAAGAACCTCCTCCACTACTTCATGTTTACTTTTTTATGTGTAGAACTGCTAAACAATCTTTATACGCATCAAACTTGGAAATAAAGCATTTCTGATTCTGAAGCTGCAAACTGCAGCAAAGCTTTATGCTGCTTGTTTTAAAAAAAATGAATTTGAAGCAATCGCATCTGATGCTCCTTTTTCTTTACCTTGACGAATATAAATGACTGAATGTTTTGTCTTTTAACCTGATCAGTTCAAGTTGTGGTGCTGATTTAGAGCTGATGAGCCCTTCTGCAGAAATGTTTGCTCCTAGACTGAAATAATTATTTCCGTACCATTTTTGTTACTTTATATGTAATTTTACATTCATGCTTCCTATAAGAAGCTTTGCATCAAACTCCAAACACCAGCAGCTTCTAACTAAAGGCCATTAGCCACGACTTCCTCAATGAAATGTTTGCAGAGCTCAGAAGGTCAGAGCAACAGCTTTAAAGTGACCGGTCTGTGGTGCACACGCAGATCAATAACTGGAATATTCATGAGGAAAGCTGGAGTTTATGGAGGCCGACTTCTGCGCAAGCATCCGAGTCAGAAGGAGGACATTCCTCTGACAGGTTTCCAGAAACAACAGCAGTGACACGATGCGGAAGAAACAGGAGGACTAATGAGACAGAGAGGCTGAGTGGAAACGACACCCGGTCCGTCTGATTCAAAACAGAACCAACAAGCAGCCCAACGGGTCAGAGGTAACCCTTCCTATGTCGGCTCGCTCGGCTCCGAGCCCAGAACACACAAAGTAAACATCTGGCTTATGCCTGATCGACGCGACACAAACAGCTGCATCTTAGAGGAAACGACGATGAAAGGATGTTCAGGGCAAAAAAAGGAAAATGAAAGAAGACGGAAAAAAAGGGAAAGATGGAGATACAGAAGGATGCATTAATGAATGAGGAGCTTTAACACAGGAAACATTAGAGAACAGATGGAAAGGATGGAGGCTTTAGAGAGAAGACAGTGGAGGCACGTATCCGGAGAAAGATTCATCTTAAAGGGTCATGTTTAGAATAATAACAAGTCTTCCTCATAAAGAAAGGGGGAAAAAACAGGCAGAAAAAGGACGGTGGATTGATACAAACAAAAATCACGGCTTTTTAAAATTCTGCAAAAAAACATGGAAACATGGAGAAGAGGAGCATCAAACAGCCTGAAAACAGGATGATCAGGATAGGAGATAACAGTGGGAAAAAGGACGCAGGTTGGCACAAAATTAAAGAACCTCACAGGAGAGACAGGATTGTTACAGGATGACGATAACAACTGGAATGAAAACACTTTGGATCTAATGATGCTCAACAGGAACACGAAGGCGATGATGACAGAAAATGAAAACAGCCTGACAGTTATAGAGGCTTTCATTCACTTTATTTGGACTTTGGCAAATCTTTCCCTACTTTTCAGGTAACATCTGACCTCTCCGTCTGTTTAAAAGCTGAAATCTAACAGGTGGAGGACAAAAGAAGAAGAGACAATCGCTAAAACATGAGCAACATCTGAAAACAACACCTTAACAGAAAAGCGAATAAACAAATGTTATCTTTGCTAAAGGATCTGATATTTTCCTTCCTCAGACTGATTTGATCCAAATGCAACAAGACAAATGGTGTCAGGTACGTTAAAGGAAGTAACTGTGACCAGCGGAAAAGGAAAAAAAATGAATATATAAAACAATCTGCTCCATTTGACTTGATGTGATCAGATATTTGATGAAATCCTCATCTGATTGGCTGATTAGTCCCCTTCCTTAGAAACTAGTGTTGCACCGATACAGATACCCGTATCGGCCAATACAGCCAGGTATCGGGGCCAAATAATGGTATTGGTGCAACACTATTAGAAACATTTGCTAAACTACATGTAGCTAAACAAATAAATGAAAAATCTAACATCTAGGAATTATGGAAGGAAGAGTGTATGGGTTCAAGTTGAATAAGAAGGGGAAAAAAAGGGGAAAATATGTGCGATGAAGGAATGCAAAAGCCAAATGAATGGGAAATGCATGAGTAAAGCAGATAAATAAAGTATTAAAAGAAAAAATGTGTGTAAAACGTGAAAGGGAAGATGGAGGGATGACGATGGAAGAATGTGGAGGAGGATGGAGGGAATTCCCTGTTGCTTGAAGCAACAGCCAATCAGCTCTGCAGACTTCCAGCACAGAAACTGTTACATAATGTTACAGAAGGGGTTCACCCTCATTTTAACAGGAAAAAAAAGAAAAAATAATCAGATATCGCGAGAATAATTAAAATGTCATCATAAAACTATCCATTCAATAATTTAATTGGAATGAAAAACAAAAACAAAAAGACCAAATAAATATTTAGAAACACGCATGTCAAGAGAAAGGTTTAGAAAATAACATATAAGAGCTTTAAAAGGTTAAAATAAAGATATTAAAAACAATATTTGATTTTGGAGAATTTGATTTTAAGGTTAATAAGGCAAAGAGGACTAATTTAAGTAAAGATGCTCACTTCTATTAAAATTAAAACAATAATTATAGGAGAATAATCCAAAGCATTTAAAATAAATAAAATATAACATTAAATTGGGGGTTTTTCTCTTACCTGGGTGGCTTTATGGAATTGCTTTTTCAACCCCGCGACGGACATCTCTGTTCGGGTTCACAGGCAGGAATAAAGAGCAGAAACTGGATCTGAGAGAATATTTTTCCGCTAATTGGAGAATTTAAATCACGTTTAAAGGAGAAATGATCGATAAATCCTTAAAGAGCCGCGAATTCGGTCCGTTTTATCCGAGAAAACTGGAGGAAAGAGGAGCCAACGAGGATGATGATGGTTAGACCAAACCCAGCTGGATCTATTTTCAGGCTGACGGAGATCGTCTAATGGACAGATGAGCCACCCGACCTGGAAACCTGTGGCGATCTTTGGCATCACTTAGATCTAATCAATCAACTCTGATTAGATCAGACCTGGATTTAAATTATATATGTATTCATTCTAATGCTTTTATTGACTCCTTTAGGATGGAAATTATAAGACAAAAAATAGCCATGAAAGAATGTTTCCTTAAATCCATGCCTTCTTTCAGAATTGTTTCAGTTTTTCAATTATACTACGGTAATGTTTTTCCTTGTAAATTAGTATTTTATAAATATATAAATTCTACAAACCTTTTAGATCTCTAGAATCACCTGTTTAATATCTGTTACTCAAACTGCAATGACAAAAACACTTCTTAAAACCTTTTTTTATTTGATTAAAACAGAATTAGACAGATTTTTGTAGGTTTAAAGTTCAGGCATGATGTGTTGATTATAGTTTGTCTCATCATCATTTTTGGGCAATAAGTCGCTTAACTTTATTTAAAGTAAGTAATACTTAAGTAATACTAATACTTAGGTAAACTAAGTATATTTAGATTACAATGGCAGCCCACTGCTCCCCAAGGGGATGGGTTAAAATACAGAGAGTCAATTTCGCCATTATGGTGAAGCTCAGGATCTAATCACATTTAGGCTCTGGCTGAAGTTACCCATCTATCTCATCTGGTGAAAGAACAGCTTTTATTAACAAGCCTTTAAAACTGGCTCTATCAAATTGTCCCAGAAACCATTTGTGTGTATTAGTTGGTCAACTTTTCAAACATTTTTATATTTTATCATCCAGTTTTGGAATCAGTAATAATGTTTAGCATTCACGTGTGTTCAGCAGATTACAGTGGTTATGTAGATTGAACCAGTTACAGTTTGCTCAAACAATGTTCCTCTTAAAGCTCTGAGCTGAACAAAATGTCTGTTCTGCAAGCACCAGATCCACCTGTTTAATCAAGCAAAACAGTATCGTCCACTAGTAATTAATATAAGGTCATATATAAGCTTGAGTCCTATTGTGTAGAAACTCTGGCCCTCTGATAAAGATAGAAAAGAAAAACCTTAATGCAGTAACTTCATTAAAAGCCATACATTTTTAATGTATCTGAATTAAACTTTTTAAAACAACCATTAGTGTAAATGGTTTTTATAGTTTTGCTCCATCTCTGATCAGTTTATTTTATTCATAATGTTGGAAAACTTATAGGATTGTCACTGAGGTCTCCAATTCATTTTAAAAGTACGTTTTTAAACTGTTTTTAATGCTGCTTGGTTGTTTGAATTAAGGAGTTTTGGGTTTTTCTTTATAAACCAAATCTAAATCATAAAGTCATCTGGCCTTCGATCTTTACGCAGAGGAACATTTTGAACAAATTATTTATTTTTCTTAACAACTTGAAATTTCTCCTCCCTTATCCTCTGAAGGGTCCATCGTGCATAAATAGACGATCTTTGGCAGAGAGCAAGCTGTACCGTTTTTTCTGTCACGTGAACACGCCGCCCTCTAGCATCCACGCGCCGCCCTGCAGAGCACGAGATGTTTCCTTAGATTAGCGGCTTTTAGAAGTTTGAAACCGTGGCGTCATTTTAATGATCAAAGGTGTCGTCTTTAAACTGGGTTAAAAAGGTTAAAAGAAGGAGAGTAGAAGAATAAGAGCTGAGGTTAGTGGGGTTCGGTGTTTCAGCACCATGGATAGCTCAACAGGAGGTCTGATGGCGCATTTACTTACCCCCGGGAAATTAGAGAGTCAATAGGAATAAATAAAGATTGTTTATAAAGATAACATAGTCAAACTCGCACTGAAAGAACAATTTCGTACACTAATTATAATCATACAACCATTTTATACTTTCTGTGTTTAAAAAAAAAATATTTTATTGCGTTGCCTTTTCCGTTTTTTGTCAATGCAAAAAAAGCCTTTTAAGGAGCATAATCTGAATTATTTTTTCTCAAGAAGAATCCGACCTGGAAGCAGATTGTGGGTCTTTGCTGCCCTCTTGTGGTGCATTCCAATATCACAACAGGTTTTACATCTGAAAGCGTGTGGGCACGATTCTTAGTGTTAAGCATATTAAGATAAAGAAAACACAACTCACAAACCAATTAAGATAGAGATCAACACTTCATATTTTTTATTCAACATGCAATACAAATATAATTATATAAAATGTGGTTAAATATTAAAGGGAAAAAAGTCATGGACATCATTATTTATTGTTTGTATAGAGCACCGTCTGCTATGGACTCTAACAGCAGTAAGGAGGAAGGACCTTATATATGATTTGCTGCTTTGAATTGTTCAAATTATAATTATTTTAGGATATTTATTTAGACAGAATTGACAGCATTCTTTCAGAAGAAATTATTTAATGTTTATTGTCATTTAGTCTATTTACAAATGTAAATTTTGATTATTTTTACAGCTATATCAGGAGAAATTTCGAAAAATCTCTGCAGAACTTGCAATTAACTCCTAATTTTATTTCAATTTAGTTATTATCTATGCCGGATTTTATGCAAGACATTGCTAAGCACTGGTTTTAATCAAGTGAAACATTATTTAAAAATGTAAAGTAAAACTTTTTCTTGGGAAATCAGATCATAATAGTGTTTTTTTTCTTCACAGAGTATAATCCACTTTTTAAAAGACAATCTGCATTAAAAAGAACTGTAAGAAGATGGTCATAGGAATCTGAAGAAGCCCTGTAAGTTTGTTTTGAGGCTACAGCTGCTTAACAAGAAACAAGGATCTTTTAGGAAGGAAGACAGGGAATTAATTAGATGTATACAGAAGCAACTTAAAGCCAATATAAGAGAAGCAAGGAGGCATAGAGGAAGAGACTGGAAAGCAAAAGCCAGCAATATAAGAGATGTGTGGTCAGGGATGAAGAAGATCACAGAAGGCAGAAAGATGATCTTATGGAACTGAATACATTCGTCAGATATAGTTCAGGAACAAGCTCAGCATCCTGCTCTCTTGTCCGCAGCAAATGGGCATCCTCTCCTCCTTTGACACCAAACTTCACACCTCAAATGTTCCATCCTCCATTTCTGCAATGGACTCTGCTGTTTCTGTGGATTTTTTTCTGCAGCCAAAACCTCCTCAACATTAGGCTGACCCAGATAACAGATCCAGTGATGTGGAAGACCTCCTGCCTTGTTGTGGTACCAAAGAACACTGCTGCTCTGACATCCCACATCATGAAGATCCTAGAGAGACTTCTGTTGGTTCATCTCAGGCAGCAAACGAGCAGCTAATGCTGTGGCGTTGGAGTTGATGATGTCATCATACACCTGCTTCAACAAACCCACTGTCATTTAGACAGACAGCACTGTGAGGATCACATTCTTTGATTTCTACGGTGCATTTAACACAGTTCAGCCTGACTTATATTGTTTATGTACAGAAAATATTCAGACTCCCCTTTTACATTTTTCACTCTGTTTCATTGCTGCCATTTGCTTCAATCAAAAGTTGATTTCATTTATCATTAATGTACACAGAAAAAATAATGTAGAAGTTTTGCAAATCCATTAAAGAAGAAAACCTAATACCACGTGGTTATTAGTATTCAGACTCTTCTCTCAGTATTGAGCAGATCCTCCTTTTCACACTAGAACAGCAACAAGTCTTTATAGGAATGATGCAACAAGTTTTCCAAACCTGGATTCAGGGATCCTCTGCTATTCCTCCAGACCGTCTCCAGTTCTGTCAGGTTGGATGGTGAATGTTGGTAAGCAGCCATTTTTGGGTCTTACAGAGATGCTCAGCTGGGTTTAGGTCTGAGTTCCGGCCGGCCTGGTCATGAAGGGTCTCAGAGCTGTTTTCTTTGCCACTCCTTTGTTATATGAGCTGTGTGCTTAGGGTCATTGTCTGGTTGGAAGGTGAACCTTTGGCCCAATCTGAGGTCCTGAAGATCTGGAACAGGTTTTCCACCAGATGTTTTTTTACTCTTTCCTTCAACTGCAACCAGCTACCCTGTCCCAGCAGCTCAAAAATCCCCATTGCATGATGCTGCCGCCACCTTGTTTCAATGCTGTGATTGTATTGGGCAGATGATGAGCGTTGGCAGGGTTTCTCCTCACATACTGCTTAGATTTAGCTCCAAAAAAAGGTTCAGTCTTGGTCTCATCAGAACAGATCGTCCTATCTCTCAGGGTATTTTTAGGAAACTCGTGATCCTGAAGCCGAAGGGACGTTTTTGGCAAACTCTTTGTGGAACTTTCTTCCATCTCCCTGCTGCATCTCTGAAACTCAGCCACAGGGATTTTAGGGATATTTTCTCACCGACGGTCTATGAAAAGTTCTGTTCATCACAAGCTTCTCTCATTGAAGGATCATGAAGACCTCGGGGTTCTTAGGAACCTTGAGTGATGCAGAAATTGCTTTGCTTTGCCACAGGGGGTAGAACCATCTCAAGGATTATCATGATATTTAATGTTTTCTTTATTTTAATAAATCAGTAGAATATTTTTTATTTCTGTATTTTTTTCTTCCAGTCCTGTCATCTGCAATACTCTGTCTCTGCATTCACTGGGTGCATCAGAGATGGACAAGAAGCTGAGTACAGAGAGCTGGTGAACTGCTTTGTTGCATGGTGGGGAAACAATCATCTGATCCTGGATGTCAACAAAACAAGTGATGGTTGTAGGTTTCAGAAAAAAAGAGAACAAGTTGAAACATATTAATATCAGGGAGAAGAAGTGGAGGTGGTGGAAGAGATTAAAACCTTGGTTAAATACCACCTGGACAAAAAACACAACTAGAGACACAACTGTGAAGCCGTCTACAAGAAAGGACGGAGCAGATTGTAATTTCTAAGGTGTTTAAAGCAAGATGCTGCATCTCTTCTACAAGTCTGGTGAGGAGAGCGTGATCTCTTCTTCCATCCTCTGCAGGGGTAACAGTATTAGAGCTAATCACTTAAAGAAGCTCAACAAGCTGATAAAGAAGGCCAGCTCTGTTCTAGGAACTCTGAAGATTATTTTACAAAGAAGAATTCTTCATGAGATTAATAAAGCATTTTGGAACTGAATTGATATCCCCATCACTAGAGGGAGCCATGCAAGCAGGCATAAAAGGTGCTGCAGTTTCTGTTATGGAGTATAATATTATAAAATCACTGATCTCTCTTTATTTATGGCCTGAAAACAGTGAAGCCACCGTCCGCCATATTGGTACTCCCCACTCCCATGGAGTCGGACATAAAAAGGCCTATATGTCTAGTATTTGGCTGCAAAAACAAGATATAGAAATATATTGCATGTTATATTGATGAAGAAAAAAAAGCAACTCAAGCATTTTTAAAGCTAATGCACAGACACTGCATAAAATTATATGGCATCATGCATGCACAACCTACAAATAGAAAATTACTATAGCATTAACAGACATGTAGTTGTAATTCTTAATGTGAAATACTGAATTTATATGCAATATGTAATAATGTCATCAATACATTTATATTATTATGCTCCATTAACACATTAATTTTGTTGTGATGGAATTTTATAATATATTACATGATTTATAGACTTCATTGACTTCATGCTGACCATGCAATATGATGTGCCTATTCCTTTTCTTAAAATCGTACATTAAAGTAATCTACTAATGATATTGAACAGCGAGTGTGTGTCAAAGTGATGAATTTATCCTTATTTTAAAAGTCTTAAACCTCCCTGAAAAGCACATATTGTGGACATTGCGACCGGTCTAACTAGGGAGTACCAATATGGCGGCCAGTGGCTTCCCTCCATCAGCTATCCAGTGAATAAATAGAGATAACTGTATAAAATATGGCCGCCATCTTGGAGTGGTCAACCTACTCCCATAGACGTAACAATTCCTGCTCCTGCTGCATATTAGTGTTGTAATCGATGACTATTGAGGTCAGGGGTAAGGGCATAACTTTATGATTAATGGACATGTGGTTGTATTTTGTGAGAACATCACTTTACTCATATCCACCGACTGAAAGCCAGTTAATGAGAGCAATGCAAAATGTTTATTTTATTCTTTTTTTTACTTTATTTAAATCTCTGCAAAAAATTAAATACAGCTATGTATAAGGTGTGAGAGTTTTGCTTTATTGTCTAAAGGTTTTTTATTTTTGAATCGTTGTGTTGTTGCTATTCTATTGTATTAATTCTAATAAAGTAAAAAATCACAAAAGCACCAAAAGGTGGAGTTTCATGATATATCGAGCTTAAATATAGAAAAATAGTATCGGTATCACCGATCATCTGTGAGCAAGACGGTTCTGTTTGATTCCCGGTCTGATGTGGGCCTTGAAGTTTCTTGGTACTAGATTGATACCAAAGTTATCAGTATTGCCCATCTACAATTGAAATGAACTGAACTATGCTATAATAGCCGTATTTATAATATAGAAGCAAAAATACCTGAAATATCTGGTATTCAGGGAGTTACAATTGATTCTTCATTACATTGAGTAGAGCAGCGACCGCCCCAAGATGGCGGCACCATGTCTGGCCATCGCTAATAGGCGACAGCGGTCACTGCAGGGTATATTTATATCCATGTCTACATCTCCACCAGACTGAGGTCCCAGTGGATCTAATTCAGATTAATCCACAGGACGGCTGAATCCCAAACTGGACGCCGTCCTGCGGAGGGTCCGCCACATTAAATGACAAACCAAACCCCGCAGTGGGTAGGGCCATAGGGTGAGCGGACCATTCAGATCTTAAATAGAGAGTTTGCATCAGTGCAGGCTTACAGGAACTTTACTGTGGGTGTAACGGCGAACTAGTAGTGGAGGAAACGCCTACATTCAAATGGAAGCTCCACTGGTTTGCTGCATCTTCATAACATTGACAGAAAATAACAAGGAAAAAATAAAATAAAAATATCCCTAAATTAAAATAGTAGTGACTGGATTTTTTAAAAAGAAAAAAGCAAATGTTTCAGAATATGTTAACCTGTGCCATGTGGCATCACTGTGTTGCTGTAGGAACAACTGTTTTCCCTTTTCTGGAGGGAAGAGCCCGTCCTATTCTTATTTAAACCCTTCAAGAACAACTCAGGCGCCTTCCACAGCTGAGTGTGACTTCACTGTGAGTGACACTTCATAGTTGAGTTTAGGGAGCGGTTTGGGATTCATCTGTGGGAGTGGTGCTCTATCATTCGCACTCCCTGCACGCTTCTCTGGGTTACTGAGGATAACATTCGGCCCCAGGATACTTTACGGCTGCTGCTGGTTTGAGGCATCCCACTGATCCCCTAGGGAATCCGTCCACACAAGAGAACAACTTTCACTGAAATATTTTTGGTGATAATTATTGCTGCTATGGAGCTAAAACATCATAAAAAAATCACCGCTGTGAGAAACCTGCATCAGGCAAATAAAAAAGCTCAGAATGCATTGGATTTCAACCTTTTTTTTTTACTCAAAACTTAATCTGCTGCGAAAACAATTTAATAAAAAATTATGTTTACGATTTTTCTGTTTTATCTTAGAAATATTTGCTGTCAACTTTCAGCAGAAAAACTTTAAAACAATAAAAGTGCAGCAGTTCTAGGGTAACAGAAAAACAGCAATATAAAGGAACATTGAAGGCGTGCCGACATTACATTTTGTTTTAACGTTTTTTAGGGCGTTTCTGACCACAGCCTCAATCACAGGGAGATAGAACAACATTTGTGGATCCTTGACACAGCAGCTGCCGACTGATAAACAGTTACACAGGCTGAGCATCAGGCTTTGGTTACATGGCAGAAAAAAAATAAATAAATAAAATCAATAACATCTTTTAATATCAGGTTTTATAAACATTTCCTAATATTTAGATTAATTCTGCCGAATAATGTATTTTTTATTTATTTTTTTCCAAGTGGTCTCTCTTTCAAATGTCCTTCTAATTATGTTAACTTACTTCCACAATCCAAAAAACGAATAGTGCAAATGCACATTGGTGCAATTTTAAAGGAAGCCTACCCATAATGCTTTGCTTTAATGCTTTACTTAAGAGCTTCTGAGCTAAAATCTACCAAATATGTAAACATGTCCAACCAGAACAAAGAGACTTGAAGCTGATCACAGTGATTCAAAAAGCTGCTTCTGCAAAGATCCACTCATATAAAGAAGAAATAGTTGAATCTAAACTAAAGTTGGTAAACATCTGGAAACATCTGCTGGTATTAGAGATAAAGAGAGAAAACATCAAACTTCTTCATATAACATTCAAAATATGATCTGAGACGTTCAAGGATACAGTGCTACATTAGAGGTGAACTGAGGATGCTCAATTAGGCCTGAGGAGGCCGCTTGGGTTCATAATAATAATAATAAAAAAAATAAAATAATACTTTAAGTTCAGTTTATCTTCTTGTCAGGATTGGAAAGTTAAACTGAAGGTTTCTCTGCTTTTCTTGCATTGCTCTGAAAGTCTGGTTCTTCCTGCTGAGATCCACAAGACGAATAACCTGAAAGAGAACAAACGATTGGAAATAAACACCAGAGACTTTTAAAGAAATTCTCGCCACTTTAGATGACATGTAGCTTAGCCGTTAGCATAGCAGTATGAGGATTGAGTTACATTCTGTTACATAAACAGGCAGAAACAATGTCATAAAACAAGGCTGCAAGGTGGAGCATTGGGTGGCACTGTGTGGAATTGCATGTTCTCCCTTAGCATGCATGGGTTCTCTCTGGGTACTCCAGCTTCATATGGATTTATCTGTTAAAAACTGAACAGAAGCTTAAAATAAAAGGAGACAATAGTGTTATTAATGGTACAGTAGTAGCCATTTAAAATTTCCCAACTTTCCTTAATGGGTCCTTAGCTGGTCCTCTACAATTCCTTTTTAAAAATCAATATTTGTAGTAAAATATTCTGTTATGATTTGTGGACATTAAGATCTAAAGAGAAGCTGGTCAGACCCTGTAATTCAGTGAAAGGGTGGAGTCAGAGGAAAAAGATATGTTAGGTTCATGGAGGGGATTTTAACTGGGAGTTGCAGGGAAGTGGGCTGACATTTGGCTGGCGTTTGACTAGGAAGGGCCGTTTTGAATGGCTGCTACAGTATGTGGAAATAAGTGTTACGAGAAATGTGTTTCATCATTAAATAAAAGGATTCATCAAAACTTCCTGGATCATGATGCAAGTGTAACTATAAATGAGGGTTTTTGTTTCTTTGTTGGCCTTGGATCTTATTTCACTGGAAAGATTAGTGAGGAAAATGGATTAATGTGCTCTACAGCAGATCAGAGGTCTAGTTTATAAAGCCTGCGTGTGCCCACTTCCTCTGAAAGGGTGGCTTTTATAAAAAGAACCTTGGTGTGAAACTGTGCGGCCCCCTAAGGCCTAGTTTTAGACCTCTGTAGGGGAAGCATGTGGTAAAGCGATGGGAAACAGGCAGAACTGAAGCCGATTATCTTTTTCTGACATTTAATTTTACTTCATATGAAACTTTAGCTGGAAATAGATTTTAACTGGATCTGAAACTGCGGTGTGATCTATGTTGTTCTGTCCAAAAAACAACAAAACACTTCTGTCCAAGTCGCAGGGAAACGGCTGTTCCAAACGTTGCATTTCTGAATTCTCCAGAGTGGTGCACAACTTTACATGAGTGAATAAAGTGAATGTTATTGGTCCATTTTCAAGAGGGCGGGATTGTTATGGCAGAAGCATTTTGCTAACCAGTTAGCAACT